ATACTCCGCGTACTCAAGTTGTACTACCAAGTCGCCAGTTCTCATCTTCCCGCTCCCCAGCTACTCCGCGTACTACAGTTGTACTACCAAGTCACCAGTTCTCATCTTCCAGCTCCCCAGCTACTCCGCGTACTAAAGTTGTACTAGAAACTCGCCAGTTCTCAGCTTCCAGCTCCACAACTACTCCGCGTACTAGAGTTGTACTACAAAGTCGCCAGTTCTCAGCTTCCAGCTCCACAGATTGCTCCGCGTAGTAAAGTTGTCTACAAAGTCGCCAGTTCTCAGCTTCCAGCTCTCCAGCTACTCCGCGTACTACAGTTGTACTACAAAGTCGCCAGTTCTCGGCTTCCAGCTCCCCAGCTACTCCGCGTACTAAAGTTGTACTAGAAAGTCGCCAGTTCTCAGCTTCCAGCTCCACAGATTGCTCCGCGTGCTAAAGTTGTACTACAAAGTCGCCAGTTCTCAGCTTCCAGCTCCCCAGCTACTCCGCGTACTACAGTTCTACTACAAAGTCGCCAGTTTCCACCAAAGGCCACTGAGGAAGGCCTTGTGTGGAAGCCTTCTATGGGCCGGGAGAAGGCGAGCAGCCTTCAACACTTGTTGCGTGCGTTGGTACAATAAGGCAGCCTTTCCAAATCCTAGATCTTCCCACCTGTGGCAGGGATCTCGAGTGTACGAAAAGAGGGTGGCAAGCTCATGAACGCCTGTTGTGCAGCCTGCTGCAACTGCAACATAATCATCATGGGCGACATCCGCCGGTGAGAGCGATGGGCCATACACTTGGCTTTCTCCGACTGGCGGGCACGTGCAATGAAAGTGCGGCGGTATATTGCCTTCCAAAGCCCCCCCTCCGAGGCCGCCACAGTTAATTTGCAGCACAGGGGGTAGCGGCAGGGCATCATATCCTATCCAATACTTATTTCGTTGGGCTACTGTCCACAAGAGAGTATTCCACGAGAAGTCATCTTGTCGTCTCTGGTACATGGCTTGAAACGCGTCCGTGGCGATTTGTTCCAAGGGCATGACCTGGTCTTGGAGCTGGTCCAGGAAATTGCGATTGGCAGCGAGGAAGTGTTCTTTCTCTCCTGGAAACATGCAGTGGGGGTGAGCTAAGGCTGCACTCAGCTCCTCGTGTGGACAGGACTCGATGTCCTTATGCACCGCTATCACGCCCCTAAGACTGGCAACTTGGTTCCACGACACAAAAAGTGGGGGAGACAGGAGCTGTGGACTGACCGTGGGCTTACTCTGGTGAGCTGCGTTGTCACTACTTGTCGGAGCTAGCTCGACAGCTTGGGCGAGGTGCCATGCTCTGTTGGCCGAATTATTCGACGAGGGAGTGCCAACAGACTCCAGGTCATCATTGTTACCGTCAGCTGGACAACAGCTAAGGCTGCCACCCTGCCCTTGGTCTGAGAAGAGGTCCGACGTGGCCGCTTAGCGCGCTCAGGACTGGGGGCCGCGCTGCTTGTGCGAGCAGTGCCTGTCT